GCTGGAAATGGCCCACCTGTTGATCACTTTAGATAAGCTATTACCAGCAGGACAGTGGGGTGGGAGGAGGTATTGTTTCATATTCTCTGTGTGTATATAAAGTCTGCTGCAGTTTCCACGGTATACATCTGATGAAGTGAGCTGTAGCTCACAAAAGCTCATGCTCAAATAAATTGGTTAGTCTCTAAGGTGCCACAAGTACTCCTTTTCTTTTTGCGAATACAGACTAACACGGCTGTTCCTCTGAAACATATCTAGCAATGAATTTTTGCTCACAGAGATCAAAGCAGAGCTGAGATCACACCAGGGTCTCAGGTGCTTGAGAATTAGCCACCCACTAGCCCTGGGGGAAATCAAATTATAACCTTATTAGCTAAAGACTTTAGTTCTTCAGTTAGGAGAGGTACCCTCTGAAATGCTTGATGGCATGTCAAACAAATTACACTGAGCAAGTGCTGAGAGAGAGGGGCTAACTATCTGGAAAACTAACTCTACATTACAGGACCTGAATGACTCAAGGGAGAATGTACCAATCACTGAATCTGAATAAAAGGAGTACTTGTGGCACCTTAGAGACCAACCAGTTTATTTGAGCATGAGCTCACGAAAGCTTATGCTCAAATAAATTGGTTGGTCTCTAAGGTGCCACAAGTACTCCTTTTCTTTTTGCGAATACAGACTAACACGGCTGCTACTCTGAATCTGAATAGCTTCCAGGCACTGTGAATTCAAATCCAACCCAGGACAGAATTCTGAAATAAAAAGAAAACGGGCTCCAATCTGTCAAAGGGTTTATTTTAGGGAAATGCAATCTGAAGACAGCAGAATATTCAGCAGGTAATTAAACTGTTTTTTGAGAAGAAAATAAGTTACACGTGCAAACGTGTAACTTCCCTGGGAGGGAAGCATGATTAGTGGTGGAAGAGCAGACGGGAATAGGGGGAGAGGGGGATGGGATGCAGTGAGGGGAAGAGAGGTGATTTGGAAGGCGATTAATGGAGGGAGAGGGTCAGGTAATGGGTGGGACACTGGGATGGGGGTCTTGGTGGTGACAGGAGGACTGGGGGAGAATACGAGCAGGGGCACCTGGGGGCCCCAGGACCATCTACGGGGTATGGTCCCTCTTCCTGGCTCTCCTTGTGATCTGAGAAGCCTGCCTTTCTGCGGGTGATGGTGGGTGTGTGTCTAAGCCTGTCTCCCTACTCCCCCTCTGTAAACGAGGATCTGTGGGCCCTGCCCAGCTATAGGGGTCTGACTCTCCTTCTGATCCCAACATGTGAGCCATGATCTGTGGAAGCCCTGCTGCTCTGGGTGGGGAGCTTAGAACAGCCACCAAGAACACATGGCTGAAACTGGGAATGCTTGACACTGGAAACTCTCCAGCAGTGGGAAGGGGAGAAAAGAACACCGACTGACATGAATGCAGCAGTTGATGTTTCAGAGCTAATGTTTCGGGCTATATTCAGCTCCACTGGGTATGCTTTTTCAGCTAAGAACATCTCATTGAGATGAATGGACCACTTAACACCTGGGGAGGTTTAGGTTGGATATTAGGAAAAACTTTTCCAGTAGGAGGGTGGTGAAGCACTGGAATGCGTTACCTAGGGAGGTGGTGGAATCTCCTTCTTTTGAAGTTTTTAAGGTCAGGCTTGACAAAGCCCTGGCTGGGATGATTTAGTTGGTGTTGGTCCTGCTTTGAGCAGGGGGTTGGACTAGATGACCTCCTGAGGTCCCTTCCAACCCTGATATTCTATGAACACCTCTCTGAGCCTGCTATGCTGCTATTGTGTTCTGGGTGCTAACTGGATTGTAAGGGGAGGATCACCCTGGAAACGTTGGCAGGGAATGGTGGGACAAAGGAAGAAGAAAGAGACTCAAACCAGTCTTCTCTTGGGGCTTGTCTACACTGGCACTTTATAGCACTGCAAATTTCTCGTTCAGGGATGTGAAAAAACACCCCCCCTGAGCGCTGCAAGTTTCAGTGCTATAAAGTGTCAGTGTAAACAGTGAACCAGCACTGGTAGCTATTCCCCTCATTAAGGTTGATTTTTTTAGAGTGCTGGGAGAGCGCTCTCCCAGTTCCATGCTGCGACTACATAAACCATGTTAAACGTTTAACGTTGCCAGTGAAGACGTGCCCTAAGATGCTTAAAACTTTTGGTAACCACCATATAATAAAACTGTCAAGATTTCGGGACAAAGACAACGTCTGAGATTTCTCTCACTGGCCTCGTCAGCCACTACACACTGCAAACATTTCAAAGCATGACCATCATCCCCATTGCACTATAACAAGATGTACAGGAGGGGGAAAGGAGCACTGAGGAATCACCTAGCAACCAGTGGAAAGACCACTGGACTGGGACCATTTCTAGCTCTGCCACTGGTTTGCTGGGTGACCTTGGGCAAATCACTTCAACTCTGTGCCTTAGTTTCCTGTAAAATGGAGATAATGAAAAGTTCTTTGATATCTAGTAAAGAAAAGCACTGTACAAAAGCTAGGTCTTTTGATTATTACCTAGCCCAGTAGCCTATCAACTGCAAATCTAGGTAAGAGGCAAAACTACCTAAATGGCCACTGCTCCTACGAAAAACAATCTTGTTGTTTAAAAAAAAATAAAATTAAATAGCAAAATACTTCGTTAATACAGAGTTAAGGTTGCCTAGTGACACCTTGTCCCTTTCCAGAACATCAAGTTCAGTAAAACTTACACTTCTGATAATCAGGAAATACAAAGTTAAAGACGATGACCACACAATCTTACCTCTGCCTTCTTTGAGCAATGCTCCACAACACCCATAATACATACACACTCCCACTCTGCCTTGTATTGGACAGGTGCGACCTGCACTTGCCCTGTGCTCAAACAAACACTGAGCCTACTGCCTTGAGAGAATACCACGCTTTCACTTCATATCCTTTTACAACTCCTTCACACTTGCATACAGGATGCCACAGAAATTTATTCTTTCCCCTATCCATCGTTAATCATCAATTCCCACTGGCCATTGCCAGCTCCAGGGGGGCAAAGTTAAGGTTGCATGGGCATTTACCTTAACTCTGCGTTTCCTGGTTTCAGAAGTCTGAGTTTCGCTGAACTCGACATTCCGGAAGGGCACGAGTGATCAACAGGCAACCTTAACTCTGTTAAAGTTTTAATAAGACTGATTTAAACATTAAAAGCTCACCCGAAGCCCAGTGAAGATAATGGAAAGGCTCCCACTGATTTCAAGGCGCTTTAGATCAGATCTGAAGTTAGTACCATAGTTAATTAATAGGAAGAGCTGATACTGATCAGGTAAGGTTTGCAAACACTTTCCATTGTGAGCCTGTTTTTAGTTGCTCAGAACTTTGCCAAACTATAACCATTTGCGCTAATTTTTTCCATTTGTTCTCTTTACCTCAGTCTAATGTTTTGTACCTTTCAACAATTCAGCTATTTCCAAGAATTATGTTGGGAAAAAATAGGTAGTTTTGCAAATGTTCACCTTTCCCCCCCCAACTATTTCCTTAAAGAGCTCCAGTGCCCCAGTGTGGCATGTGAAATTAAAATTTGGATGGATACTCTTTAGGTCAGAGAGGTGCTTTTTGCTGTCTCCATGAAAACTAACCTGTATTTGGCCTCTGAAAGTTGTCATTCACACAAGATGAGCAGAGCCTGTTAGAGGCTCATTGCTGAAATTATAGACCTTTTTCACCAAGCACGTTCCCATCCCCACAGCTCCCTCTATGGCAACTCCACGGTACCTGCTCCTAGACTCTAGAGAGCCTTACATGGCTCTAGATGGGATACAGGCAAAACAGGAGCTGCAAAATATCCTTTTGACCTAAGAAAAGGTGCGTTGTGCTGGAAGTTAAGAGACAACATGGGTTCTAGTCTAAAGGCTTCCTTAACAATTCTATGAATTTCACAGCCCTTATTCTTAAGCATGGCATCATATCCTACAAAACATGCTAATATCATTCACCCCATTTTGCAGACGTAACACAAGGTGGCATCTGGAAGAGTCATGAATAGAACCCAAATCTCATACATTGACCACATTGCCTTTCTGACTAAATGTGCCAAATCTATGTGCCTTGCTGCACTGTCTAATCACTAGACCTGACCCCTCCCTCCGCCCCTCAAAACAAGAATAGAACCCAGGAATCTTAACTTACAATATTCTTCTAATAAATAGTTGTGAAAAGCCACTGGCAAAAGGATATCATACCCTCTTCTAGCGGCAGGTCCACACAGAAGATAACAGTCTACTACTACTAACTGTTACTCTCTTAGCTCAAGTAGTGGAGATCTGTGCTGTGAAATAAAGGTCTTGGATTCAGGCAACTGATGACGTGTGGGACTGATATGTTTCCACATGATGAATTTTCAGAGGGTTTTAAATCTAGGAAAGCATAGATTTTTGTATCTTTTCAATGAATGTTAAGGGTTGAAATGTCAAATGCTTAAAAGTTAGGAAATCCCGGAATGAAAGTTGCTGGGTAACCTTAATTTAACTTCCTTGTGCATATGAATTATGGCATTGCCTTTAATCATGATGGAAGAATTTCATCCATCAGATACCTGCTTCAGCGACTGTAGAAAATGGACATTTAATGAGGCACAGGGTTGTGAGAGGATTTTCCGTTGTTTAATGCACTGAACTGGGACCCAGAAGGCCTGGTTCTATTCTTTGCTCTATGACATACTTCCTATGAAACACTGAAAATACATACACACGGGGGGCTGTGTGTATGTGTGTGTGTGTGTGCGTGTGCGTGTACGCGCGCGCCTGATTTAAGGTTGCACAGACAACTTTCATTCTGGCAACTTTATTATAACTTTACTAACCCTAAGACACAAATGTGCCTTCATAGAAATAACTAGAGCACATGCCCTCACCTAAAGCATAGGAGCTGGCAAACTTAAATAACCCCCCCAATCAATAAAACTAAAAGGAAACTAAAAAGTAAGGAGTTTATGAACTGCATCTGTGTGTTTACTTAAAAGTCTCACCTTCTACAACATAGACCTTAGTCAAAGGAAAGTCAATACTTTTTGCCATCATTTCAATTGCTTGTTTGAGCTCTCCCTCAGGAAGTGGAATGAATTTATCAAACAGAGGGGCAATGTAGTCTGCGTATATTGTGACAAGAACCTGCAAAGAAACAGAGGTGTTAAAACCAGGCATAGAAAAATTCTTGGTAAACTAGACCAAAAGTAAATCTTAAAACTTGAGAATAATATTTGCAGCAGAAGGTGACATTAAGGAGCCATTCCCTTAGAAGAGGGACTGAAAGAAGACCATGCAGAGAACAAAATGAGACACTGAAAATGAGACCTGTACGCACTACAGCAAAAGTCTGCAGTCCTTAAAGACTTCCTCTGATTGGAACCACTGACTAGTCAAAGCTTAGCTGCAACCATCCTTTCAATTTTTTTTTAAAAGGCAATGAAGTATTCCATTATTCCTCCTCTTACCATTCCACACGACACTCTCATTCTTTAGCATAACACCTTTACTCTGAAAGCATGAAGGGCCAAGGGAGGGAATAGCTCAGTGGTTTGAGCATTGGCCTGCTAAACCTAGGGTTGTGAGTTCAATCCTTGAGGTGGCTGTTTTGGGATCTGGGGCAAAAATTGGGGATTGGTCCTGCTTTGAGCAGGGGTTGGACTAGATGACCTGCTGAGGTCCCTTCCAACCCTGATATTCTATGATTGTCAGGTTTCATGGTGCTCCCCACTGCCAACATTTCAACTGACAGGGGAACAAGCCTCGCAGGTCTGGTGAGCACTTTTCTGCCTCCAACCATAAAACCAGGACTCTTTCAAATTTAAGACTTTAGAGGCCCAAGTGCCCCAGAGTGCCAACAAGCTGGAAAAAATATATATTTTTCTTTTTAAGGCAAGAAAAGGAGGGTGGAGAGATGAGGAAGAAAAGGGCAGGGTGAGTGTCACCATGCCTCAGTGGGTCACAACTGAGAATGCCAAATTCAGGACAAACTGCTGAGAAATAGGGAAGACACCCTCCACAAACTGGTGGTTATTCTCCCATAAGATATACCAAACCAGCAACATAAGTAAACTTCTGTTTCACCACACTGGCTAACAAGAAGTCAGAAAAGCAGTCTCCTTAGGCATTCCAGTCCTTATATCACCACTAAAAACACTAGACTTAATGATGAGTGTTTTTTAAAACTCAATTTCATCAACTAAAGGGTTCTTCTGATCCCAAAGGGCCAGACACATACCAGGTCAATATACAATTCAGATCTTACCCAATAATCATGCTTAATTAGTATCTAATATCTAAAGGTTTATTTATAAAAAGAAAGAAAGGTAAGAGTTAAAATAGGCTAAAAGTATGTAACAATAAATGCAAGGTTCTTGGATCAGGCCTGTAGCAATGATGGAATAAACTGCTGGCTTGTTCAGTCTCTGGTTGCTTTCAAATCACTGGAAGGTCCTCAGTCCCTTGGTTAGAATGCTCCCATTAGTATAAGTTCATAGTCCAGAGATCAGAGCAGGAAAGAGGCAAAATGGAGATGTTTCCAGGGCCTTTTATAGCTTCCGCCAAGTGAAGAGAAACCCATTGTTCTAGTTTGTGAAAATTACAGGTAACAAGACGGAGTTTGGAGTTACATGGGCAAGTCACACGTCCATGCACGTTTTGCTTAGTCATAGAATCATAGAAGATTAGGGTTGGAAGAGATCCCAGAAGGTCATCTAGTCCAACCCCCTGCTCAAAGCAGGGCCAACCCCAGCTAAATCATCCCAGCCAGGGCTTTATCAAGCTGGGCCTTAAAAATCTCTAAGGATGGAGATTCCACCATCTCCCTAGGCAACCCATTCCAGCGCTTCACCACCCTCCTAGTGAAATAGTTTTTCCTAATATCCAACGTAGACCTCCTTCACTGCAACTTGAGACCATTGCTCCTTGTTCTGTCATCTGTCACCACTGAGAACTGGGTTTGGAGTCACATGGGCAAGTCACATGTCCATGCCTGCTTTGCTTAGTCACAGCAGAAGCCATTACCCATACTCTAGTTAGAATGTCCTCAGGAAAAGCCCATTAAGTATAGATAGGCATCTTCCATGGTCCATTGTGAGTTAAGTGTTCTTTGATGGGTCACTCAGCAGGAGAGTGAGTTTGTGTGTGTGGTTTTTGGAGGGGGGTGAGGGAGTGAGAGAACCTGGATTTGTGCAGGAAATGGCCCACCTTGATTATCATACACATTGTGAAGAGAATGGTCACTTTGGATGGGCTATTACCAGCAGGAGAGTGAGTTTGTGGGCGGAGGGTGAGAAAACCTGGATTTGTGCTGGAAATGGCCCAACTTGATGATCACTTTTGATAAGCTATTACCAGCAGGACAGTGGGGTGAGAGAAGGTATTGTTTCATGGTCTCTGTGTGTATATAATGTCTTCTGCAGTTTCCATGGTATGCATCCGATGAAGTGAGCTGTAGCTCACGAAAGCTCATGGTCAAATAAATTGGTTAGTCTCTAAGGTGCCACAAGTACTCCTTTTCTTTCAGCTTATATAGTTCCTTCGCAATGTGCTGGCTAAATACCTTGTGGGTGTTACCACATGAGCAAACACATTTGAAATACAGGTACATAGTTAATATTCATAACTTCAGATACAAAAATGATACATGCATACAAATAGCATAATCATATTCAGCAAATCATTACTTTTCCATTGATACCTTACTTGATACACTTTGTATATAATTTGTTGCAATTATATAACAGTGGTAGCAACAATGATCTACATTGTCATGTTTTAATCATACAACATCACAGTGAGTACAAGCCGAGATCAAACAATCATACAAAAGCAGGTATCTAGTATGATCCTACATAACGTATGCTCTGGAAAAGGAGCTAGGACTTGGGTAGAATAGGTCAAAATAACATGGTTTTTTACTGAAATTTTTTTTTGAACAATAATTTATTTTTTGCAAGAATTTTGAAAATTTTCATTTCATTCTCTATCATATTTTTCATTTCAATTTCCATTAGTTTAGTGTTCAGAAACTAAAACTTTTTGGTTGTTAAAAGAAAAGGAGTACTTGTGGCACCTTAGAGACCAACCAATTTATTTCAGCATAAGCTTTCGTGAGCTACAGCTCACTTCTGTAGCTCACAAAAGCTTATGCTCAAATAAGTTGGTTGGTCTCAGGTGCCACAAATACTCCTTTTCTTTTTGCAAATACAGACTAACACAGCTGTTACTCTGAAACCTGTCATTATTTTTGGTTGTTGATTTTCATTTTTCTACATCCCCTGACCTCTTTTTTCATCTGTTCCCTCTTTACCCCCACTGAAAAAGGATGGGGAAGTTAAACCAAGACAAACCCATTCTCCCTTCCCTATATATTTTTCTGACAATAGAAAAAGTTAGAAAAAAGTTTAAAGTTTGAGAAAGTGGGACAGAGCAAGGGAGGGAGACAGTTGGATGACAACATTCACTTTACTTTTTTCAACTGAAAAATGTGAGGGGGAAAAAAAAAAAAAAAAAAAAGAGTGAGCACTAAAAAAAATGGGAAAAAGTTCCAAACTGATAGCTCCATCTGCAGCGGAGTGAACCATTCAGAGAGATCATTTTGTTCTTCAGAAACTGTAGCAGCAGAAGAGGATTTCTCCAAAGAAATGATTTCTACCATGCTTGATAAACTTAAGAATAGGCGGAATCAGTAACAGTAAAGTTAGAGAGAGACGGTGGGGAACGTAATATCTGTTATTGGACTAACTTCTGTTGATGAGAGGGACAAGGTTTTGAGCTTACACAGAGCTCTTCTGGTGTGGGAAATATGCTCAGTTTCAATTCCCAGACCTGAAGATAAGCGCTGTATAAGCTCAAAAGCATGTCTGTCTCACCAACAGAAGCTGGCCCAATGAAAGATATTACCTCACTCATCTTCTCTCTCTAAAATCATTGTAGCCATGTCAATCCAGGAACACTGCATACAATACAGAAAAGCTGACTGTTGCAGTCCAACTAAGTCAAATGTCTGACCTTCTTAATGTTATGGAGAGCCGCATGACATGTTCAGATTCTGCTGGTTTGTCTTTTAAAAAAAAATAACCTTCTAGCACAAGTCTCCAAAATGTGATCGAAGTATAACACAAAGTTGTCTTTTTCCAAGTGCAGACAGTCTGACTCAGAGGTGTCAACTTCCCCAGCTCCATTAATCTCACTCAGAGGTGTAAATCGAAAGCCTGAAGATGACATTTTAGAAGTCAAAATTAACTATTTCATTGCTGACCATTATAGTAGATGGAAAGGGAGTGAAGTACATGTGGAATAAGAACAACAAAGGAGACAAACAGTGAAGGGAGAGGATGGAGAAGGGTTAGAAACAAAGGGCAGAAATAGCTATGGCCTTAACGGGGCACGGATTTTCCCCAGTGAGTGATGCTAAATGCAACAATAAAGTATTGAACAAATAATATTAATAAACAAAAGTCAGATCCTCAGCTAACTGATTTAGTTCCATGAAGTCAATGGTTCTAAAATTCAGTTACCACATAAAGACCATATTTTACCCATGACCTCTGTGTAAAACCTCCCATTGACATCAGCGCATATGTAGCCCTAAATGAATATAGTCCAGCCTATGAAACATTTTAACCCATTCCATAGGCTAAATCTGATACCCCTCATTTGAGATCATATCTTAAAAGCTTTGGTCAACATAACTTATGTGGGAGTACAGCTGCCGAATTTTGTCTATTGCTCATGCATACTTGCCTGTTTGAACTGGCGCGGCACATACTCACCAGAGTGCTTGTGTCAATGCAAACTGTAGTGCACCATGAGTAAGCATTCCAGTGAGTCACATGCCACCATCCAGCACAATGCCTTTTGGGATATTTTCACATTTTGTGGGATAGAAAAGACTTGCCCATGGATCTCTGGAAGCTAGAGGTCAAGTTCTCAGAATGCAACTTTCGCCATCCCATCATGCTATTCATATCCCATAATTTGTGTCTTTTTAAAAATATTCCACAACCTCACATGGCTCTTTTCAGTGTCTGCCATCTGTAACAGAAACATGAAGCCCACAGACCTCTGCACTAATCTCATGAATGGTACACAATTCCCCGGTGTTTGCAGACCCACAGGAAGTACAGTAACAATGAGGGACA